AATTTTCGTACTGTACTCCATTTCGGACAGCGTAGCGTGTCAACAACAAGGTAGTGATTGGTTGATAGCTCTGCGCCTATGTTTATGAGAACATCCATTAGAGGGCGTCTGTCTCAGGCTTCCCTGTACCAAGAAAACTGATGCACGCTTCGATTCTTAAAAAAAGAGCTCATAATAGGCCCTCCGTTGTGTGTGCAAAACAGCAGCAACTTCATGCCATTATTGTTGAGATCGCAAGGACCGTTGTTTTTACTTTTCAGTGTCTGCTCCGACAAGCCCATGAAAATTGCCCATGAAAATGAGGAACTTCGTAGATGGCACTTCGTCCGCAGCTCACAGCTTCCTCGAGGAAGAACTAAAGTTATTTCTCCATACTTGGCGAACAGACCTGTAACAAGATCAACGCCTTAGCCCGTTGAAACTTCAGTCAGAGAAGTGTCACTCTCCTGCAGGCAGGCTTCCGTTCAATTATTTTCTTAGCCAGGTTAGGCTCCACCGGCATTCCAACATCGACCTAAGCGCGCGTCTTATTTCGATATCTGAGTAAAATGGAGTACCGCAGCCTCGTCGAACCGGCTCCTGTTCTTTTGCTCTGAAAGAAGATACGTTCCAATTTTTGGCTGTAAGCTACCACTGGCGGAGCCTTCTCTGACAATTTACGCATTAAATTTAAAATAGAGCCCTTTCATAAACCATTCATTAAGCTTTAGGTGTTGTACCCTAGTAGATGTTCTATTTCGTTTGACTATCAGTATTCTTCTGAACATGGAATTAGGAAGCTTCTTATTAAGGTCACTACTGTTTATGCTAATTTCTTAATCCTGGATTAGCGTGAATCAAAATCAGTTTTGATACCCTGGTTCGTTCCTTCATGAAACATGCTACAGTCGCAGTTGCTGTCACTTCCGTTATTGTCTGTCACGGTGGATGCTAGATGGTGACTTACCAGTTATCCCTTACCGCTGCCACCCATCCGCTTAGAGCGATTTGCTAGGACATCAAGTGAAGAGTTTCGATAGATTAGAAATTTGTCGGCATTACCTTGCTGATGCAAGATCCTCCCCTCTGCCTTATCTTTCCGCGAGTGCTTTAAGTGTTTTCATAAAATAGCGACCTTTCTCGAATTCCATTACTTGATACTATATGAGCCTTTCTCCTCACTATTTAACAACGACACAGTGTAACACAGTGGAATGGAAGTGGACGTCTAAGTCACTAAGCAAACTTTGTTGTCAGTACTGCTTCATTAGGAGTTTGTTTGGTATGAACGTAAAAAACCGACCACACTTCCTTCTGGGTCATGGAACAGACAATCCACGATTACCACGACCATGCGCTGTTGACTTTCCCCGTCTCACTTAACGGCTTTGTGAGTTCCTCGTCGCCCTTCCTCCTTACTGTAAGTGGACAGGGAGTCGATGGATGGAGTTATTTCACATGGCTTGTACGTACAACAGAAGAAGAACGTAACATAATTTAAGGGATACTTCTGCCGCAAGGTCTGAAACTGACTTTGCTCCATGCAGTTCCTTTACTGCAGTTTTACGACAGAAGACAAAGAACGAATACAAGTACTTGCTGTAAAACTTTTCTGCATGAGCAACACGGTCCCAATTCGTAATATTACAGTTAATCAACCGAGGTCCTAGTCTTGAACCTGTACTCCTTCGAGTACTTTACTTTGACTGATTAATTAGACATATTTTAAGGCACATTATAAAGACCGGAACATTGAGAACTGTCTCCTGATCTTCTTCCATAACGCATATTTACTTGATAATATGCACATTTGCCTAAGGCGTCTGTCCAAATAACGTCCCGATGCATGATGTAAGTGAACCTTGATTTATGTGGAGCACCTTAAATATTTTAGCATGTTCTTTCGACCGTTGTTAATTATGCAAAGAGAACGATGGAAAACTATGATGCTTCTTTTCAGGAACTTTCGGAAGATCCCAAGGCTATGCTGACAAGGGTAAGTGACGATAGAGAAGCTGTAGCCGATGGTGTGTATCACTGGCTGAATCTTTAGCTGTATCGGTGGTCAAAAGGACAGCTGGACAAAACGATCGACTTTGAACGGTTCAACATCGATCCTGCTCCCATGCAATTAGTGGAGAAGACTTCTTTGTACAAAGTTCACGTGCTTTTTTCTCTGCTGGGTTTAAACCGAGCGTATGTCACTAATCTCGGACGACTGGTTGGCGTGGTCGCTCTGCGAGAGGTCTGTCAAATTGTTCTAACTCTGAGCTGCTCTCAAATTACACATATTACTTTAAACACTTAAAAGCTCTGTGAGTTACCAGAACTCTAATTTACTACGGATACTTTCCATTACAGATATATAAGTTATTCATGGCATCTGTTCGACTGCCACAGTTACTCTAATAGGCGTGATTCTGCCAGTTTAAACTAAAGAAAGCTTGTAACCGTTTGAATGTTGGTCTTCCTTACAATTTCATGACTGGGCCATTCCCGGCGCCCTTTTTTCTCATGATGATAACGATGGGGCCCTAATGTCTATTTCCATGCCATGAGCCAGGGGTTACTTATTTTAAAGACAGATCGGACAGCAGCAATGTGTCACGCATATGTGTAGTCTTCTGTTTCTTTCCCACATAGTGGTACTAATTTATCAATCAGGGAAGAAAAAAGAGACGAGTTTTCTAACCATGAATTAAACCCTGAACCTTGTGGTTCTGAGTCTGTCACTCATTGACCCATATAGATGATCCCAGGCCTAAACGAGCAGTAATACGTTTCAGTCAGTGGAATTAAAAAATAAATTA